TACTTCCACGTGGTGCACCCTGGGCAACGTACACTCATGCAGCAAAAAAATTTATTAACCGGCAGTTGACTTCTCACTTCAAACTTCCATCACCCCATTGTATGTCATATTCGACTTCTTCCACAGTACTTACCTCACCTTTTCTTTACCTTTGTGTCTGTCTCTTTTACCTAGTCTTTGAAACACTCTTTTGTCCCCCCCCCCTCTCGACTTTTTCACTTTGATGTTCCTTCCCCTCTGTGAAGTCTGAATACAACTAAAGGGCTAATGATAACTATCAAAGCGCCTGCCATTTGGTATAAATAAATATTATATCAAATATGCTATAAATGCAGATAATAATGAAAGAACGTGGGGACGGCCGAATGAAGGAAATTTCCTGCTTTAGTTTTTAGCCGAAATTCCCCGTCTTTAGAAAGAACGGCATGAAGGAGACTTGCTGCCCAGATGTCTTAAGCGCCACATTTTTATTCGCCAAAATTTCCTGGATTTTGAAGATTTTTACGGCGTTTGCCCAGGAAAACTCAATTTTTGTACTTCTCTATTAAAACTGCTGCAAGAAAGCATCAAAAGCACAGCACCTAAACCAACTCAACTGCTCTCCTGTTCCTTAATTTTGAGCAGATTTCAACTTGAAGGATATGGGCATTGAGGGGATAACAAGTCAATTGTACCGGGTTTTGGGGTCAGTCCCATTAATTGGTACATCATATTCTGAAAAATCCTATTTACCGGTATTTGCAAGAAAGACTAAGACATTGGCTGACGGCAACTTGATAAATCACCATTTTCATAAGTTAATTAAGTGTCCGCGTGTAGTTTTTGAACGCAACAGACTCTCCATTGAAGTGATTGAGATTAAATTCTAGAGCAATGATCAGAAGAAATCACAAAATGATTTAATAAATCACTCCATGATTGCTATAAGGCTCAACCAGAGTGGTCATCTAAATCCCCTCAGAGGAATCATCAATAATAATTCAACCACAATTTATGAGCACGAAGGTCCTCCTCTTCTCTACTTTCTTTTATCTCCTATCTGAACCCCCCTTAAAGCATATCATATAGAAAATCGAGACTATTAATGTTTATATTTGAACATCTGAATGAAAGCCACGTACCTCATGTCCTGTAATGGGTTTTTATTGATTATGTGGTTTAAAGCAGGTGCTCAGGATTCAAGGTCTCTTCTGCGGTGAGTTGACTAACCAGACAGCTCATCAATTCATACGTATCACAAATGAACCGAAAAGTGAGAAGAGGAGCAGCCTCACCAGCCCCCAGTTAACTCCCGAGCTACACCTTTGATTATAAAATTTTACTGATTTGTTTACTGATTTTCCCATGAAACAAAATAAAACGGAGCAACAGATTGAACTAAGTACGTGTTTAGTGCTCCGTACACATGCAGTCATTTTTTAAGAGCACCTGTGTTTATAGGTTGTGATCATATACTCGATAATTAGACAAGAGCATAAATTTCAAATACTGGATATTTAATATGCTCTTAATTCATTAAAATGTAAGAAAGAGAAATATTTCAGGAGATGGGGAAGACAATGGCTCCAAATACGATTCTCATATTTGAAGAAAAGCGTTTCTATTTCCTATATACAAAATGGCTGCCGGCTCAATACACTCTGATATAAGAAAAACACACCGAAATTGAATAATATAGGAAATCAATGATAAGGACTATAAAAGTTTTTTTTTAAATTTTTAAAAGTTAGTTGATTAAACTGGGTAAATTTTGGCATTACAAAATTTTAATAGGTTCACACATTCTGCACTGATGGGTGGTAATTGGGGTTATTGACCAAAAGCGGGGAAATGATTTAATCAAGATCCAACACTTAAAAAATGAAAAAAAACTTTTCAAATTAACTAACGAAACTATGCTGATTTTGCTTCTACTTATTTTAGCCTTAAATAGCACATAGCTTAAAAAATAGTTATTGTGCAACATTAAATCCAAAAATCGAAGGACTTAATGAATCTTTGTTATTAGTGAAATGTTCCAAAATTTCCTAAGTTCGATTGACATAAATCTTTCGAATCCTACTTTTCAGGATTACCTTATGTCAGAATGATGATGTACCATAGTTTTTCGGTTAACGAGACTACAAAAATTCCAAGTATATACATTTTATTGCTCTCAAGGTAGTGATATAAAAGCATTCTCATTGGTTGTGAAAAAAGTCAATCATATTTAAGGCTTCCATATGTGTAATTATACATGATTATCCAAATTGCATGGAACCTCCATGCCAAGGTGGCAAGTGAACGTCAAAAATTAATCAAAAACCTCTACTCTTTGAAGCTGAAAGCTTTGCACCATCGATTACTTCATCAATCTATCAGTGCCATAAAATCAATAAAAATTTCACTCAAAGGAGATCTTATGTTGATAGCACAATTAAAACAAAAAAACATTTAATGAGAACATCACCTAAGAGATTCTATTTATAACTAAAATTGTGTTAAAAATCATGAAATTTCTAGTCACCGCAATGTTTTGCCACAGGTCAGTCTGTACGCGAAGGAAGCATCGATTGAGTATCATTGATTGAATACAATGCAAGATTGGTTGAAAGTTAATAATAAATAAATAATTCTAAGCCGTGTTGGCGTAGGTGTATAACTTCATATGGAACTTACTCCAGTGACTGTGCCAAAAAATTTGATTACATTTGGTGCGTCTCGAAGCTTCTCCAGGATTTCACATTCTTGGTGGAATTTTGAGAGATTATTTTGCTTCATGATCTTTACTGCCAGGGTTTTCCACTCTGTATCGGTTCGAACTCTGTGAACTTGACCGAATGAGCCTTCCCCGACACATGCGACAAATTTGCAATCAAAGTGAGCTAGATTGTTGTCGAGTTTATTCATGGAAAGGCTGCAATCCGCATTAAATTTACTGGCTAATCTAGCATCCACCTCTTCATCGTAATGGAATTTCTTTAAGAAAGGATGAGAAAAGACTTGCCTAGCTGTAATGCGTCTGAACGGATCAACAGTCATCAATTTACACATCAAATCGTCAGCTTCTTTATAAGCATCATTGGCACACTGGTGGTATTCACGATCGTAGAGTGATATTTGCGCCTCCAATTTGGTGTCAATTCTAATGTTATTCAATTGGACGTAATTCATAATGCTTTCTATCCCCACTATCTTTATTATCGCCGCCAATTGACCTACTCGATCTTTGGCTCGATAGAATAGCAGAGGTTCTGATAGTATAAAGCATGCGATCATGCACCCCACAGGCCATAGGTCTACAGAATAAAACGTACTCTTATTGTGGGGTTTAAACAAAAATCGAAATCACCTTACCGGCCCATGTAGAAGGAGTTCGGGACTCAAATACTCACAAGATTGTGGATTAAAATGAAATTGGTCAATTGAATTCAAACACACGGCATTACTCCATCCACTAAGTTGGAGGTGTTTCTTGATCGGATCAATTAACAAATTGTCAGGCTTGACACCGCGATGAACAATTTTTCTGTCATGACAACAAGCCAATGCCGTTATAAGTTGATATAAATAGTGTTTGAAGTCTGTTAATGATAGAATATTTTGCATGTTGTACCAGGAGATACAATCTACATATTCAAAGGTTAAAAATGTACAAGACATCTAGAGAGAGGGAGAGAGAGAGAATCGATAAGATTTTTTCCTGCAATCATGAAACCTACAAATCTAGCATCTATCGATCCAAGTAATTGGATGATATTTGGGCAGCCACGAAGTGATTCTAGAATCTTTACCTCTAGGGATTTTTTCTTGCAATCATCATGATGAATTTTCTTAATTGCTAGGTCTATTCCTCGTCGCTTATCATGAGCCTTATAAACTTGGGATACTGCTCCTTTTTTAGAAATGATCCTTTCAACTGTCGTTTCAATAATATCCATTTGGTTAACAACTCCCGAGCCAGGAGATTTGTGGATCACGTCGTCGCTTAACAAGTAATCGCTTGCACACGCAGACAGGCTTGGAGTGTGCGTCCGATAGGTACAAAGCACTACTCAGATATTTAACTATTAATATTCACTCAAAGTTTGTTTGATTAATAATTATGTTTGCAGTTATCAGAATTTGAAATAAACGTTTCGCTTGCAGCACATCCTCCTTCCCTCTATCATCTCGAGAGCCTTTCCGACTAGGAAGATCTGCCACAGAGATTTCTGAGCTAGTTAAGGTTTTATTAGTGTAGCAATCCGCTAAAGTTTTCTTCATACGTCGAGCTGGAGAGCAAAGATCTAGGGAAATATTTAAAAAAACAAAAAATTGGGTAAAAATAGTCAGTTTTCACTTTTTTTGATATGAGAGTGAATTATACTAGCTTAAATTCTAATTTAAGCACCATTCGGTACAAAGTTAATGTTGGAATAAGTAATAACGATCAAAATGCCTTGATGATAAAATATCATGCGTGATGGTCTAACCGATTGTCAACGGACCCTAGACTCCAGACCTTGAGAATGAAATGAATGTCGCGTTGTTCACTGTCTCTGGTGTTAGGTCGAGTAGCTGTGGAAGAAGACATCTTTCTGGAATGTATCGTAATAGAGAGCGGCTAGAAGTCTTGTCTTTTCAATCCAATAATAGAATTGTAGATGCTTCTGAATTATGCAGAGCAATTCCTGCACTTACTGATTTTCAGTTTATTGTCCGAAAAAAGAACATTACTGTTTGGGTTAACTATATTCATTCAAGTAATTTTCAAATCCATTTTTTTCCCTAGCGCATGCTTCATGAACCTGGAGAGGTGATAATCGAATGGAGCCGGGGTATGTGCGCGAGGCTCCTAATTGAATTCCTAAGCATGCAAGGCGATCATTCTTGCCTTGTGGAGTAGGATTGGTATTGGTATGTTGAGAAATTAAACTATTTTCCGATAAATAAATTCGCACCTTGGCCTCTTAATTTCTGGCTTGATCTTCCGGGTTATTGACAACAATAAACTTCTCTCACCTTGAGTAAAGCAAAATTCCCCATACATCCCTCTTCTCCCCCCCCCTCCCACCCCCAATGCATAATACACTTTTCTTAAGTGTCAAAACTGGTTTGGGTTAAGGGAGGGAGGAATTTTTGTTAAAGGGGGACAACCTTGGTTTTCCCTCCCTATCGGCACTTTAAACGATCAAATTCCCTTGCCCAATAAAAGAGGTGTTAAGCCTTTGATGTTAAAGGTAGGAAACACACACAGCGTTGTCACCGTTGAACATGTAATCTCATGTGCACCCAGACACACTTGAAACTGCGGCCGTGCAACTTTGTGTTAGGAATAGGTGCGGCGTGAACAAGGAGAGCATCCAGCCAATCACCAATCAATAGTCTTCGCTTGGCTTAGCAAACCCCCCATATTAGCATAATGTCTAAGCTCCTTGACTGTACACCCTCACTCGCACACATCTCAAGGAAACGTGTTGCGCGTGATACGTCTGTTTCCTCTATAGCTTTGCGGTAGCTTAGTTAGTTCTGGAAGTTTTTCGAAACATTTATTTATATCAAATGGCAGGGATTTTGATAGTTTCATTAGCCTTTTAGGTGACTTCAGGTCTCACAGAGAAGAAATATCAAGGTGAAAAAGTTCGAGAGGTGGGGAGGG